ACACCAGTAACCCACCAAGGCTGTGGGGCGGTGGAGCTGCTTGCTGCCTGGTTGTGTTAATTAACTTGGACCTGTCTTCTGGTGTAGGCAGTTTTCAGAGCTAGACTCACCTAAGGCACTTAGACTGCCAGCAGTTTGCTGGGGCTCTTTTCCTCTGTCTCCATAAGGAGTCTTGGGGCACTTTTGCTGCCTGAGGTTACAACATGTCAAGCGCACCTGAGGGATGCAGGGATGGGTGGTGGCTGTTTCGGCAGCTGGGAAGCACTGGGAGAACAGTGTGCCCAGTGTGCTTGTGTGGCATTGGGAGTGGATGCTCCTCGCTTGTCGCTGGCAAGCAAGCCTGAGATTTTGAAGGCTGTGAATTGTTTGCTGCTTGTGTTGAACAGCAACAGCACGTAGCTTTGACCTGGGTCGGAGCTTTCTGTGTGCCTTTGAAAATCTGGGATGCTCACAGCTGGGATGCATGAAGCCAAAACCCTGTCAGCTGGGTGGAGACTTTAATTTTCCTTAGGAAAGGTGTTTTGGTTTTGTTTCTACTTTGGCAGCAGTGTATGAAAAGACACTTCAAGCCTGGGGTGAGTGCCGGTGAGGGTCAGCAATGTGCCTGGGCCGAGCCCCAAGTACTGAGGGAGAAGCTGGCAGCAGATGATCCTTCAGTGCCCTGCATGCCCAGGAGCTGTGCCTGCCTGGTGGCATCGGGGCCCGGTTAGCCCCGCAGCTCCCACCGCTGCTGCATGCCCGTGCGGGCTGTGGGGCTGGGGGCAGCGGGACCAGGCCATCAGCCCAGTACCGTGTGTCGAGGTGGCGCGGCACTGAGGGTATCTCCAGTGACGTGGGTTTGACAGATGGTGCCCTCCTCCAGCCCAGAGTGGCATGTGCCCTCCCGATCAGCGGGCTCCATTCTTGTAATTTCCTCTTCGCAGGGCTCCCGGCTGGGCTTTTGTGCCGCTCTCCCCACGCACAGCCGGGCAGCGCTGCATTCAGTGCTGCCCTAAATAACCATGGCCCTGCCTGTGCATCAGCGCTCTGCTGTGCCTGGGGGGTGAGCTGCCTCGAAAATAGAAGTGCCTCCAACAAGGCTGCGTGTGGCTTTGGCAGAAACCCTCTCCCTGGGTGGTGGGTTGCCTTCCTCTGGGATTTCTGGCTCTAGTAAATAGCAGGATCCAGTGGGCAGCAGGGGTGGGACTATGCAGTGGTGTGGCATCTTGCATGCAAGGAATCATGACTATTTCAGAGGTTATAAAGGGAGGGGAAGGAGGTGACAAGGAGATGGGCATCTTCGCTGGCAGCATGCCTTTCCTCTGATGCCAGTACTTTCTGGCCCACGTGGTCATGGTAAAAGCCTGTGTTTAATAATGGGGAATGCTTTCCTCTCCAGCTTCAAGAAGGGGGCTAAAATTCCTGCAAATTAAGATTCTGTCAGAATGAAGGCAAGAAAAGCTGGGTGGACTTGGGGGAATTTGTGAAGGGGGTGCATTTTCCTGTGTAGGGCTGCAGAGGCTCGCTGGTGCTTCCCATCCTGCTTGCCCTAGGACAGGGTTTTCATAGGATCAGATCTGGAAGGGACCTTCAAAGATGATCCATTCCCACCCCTTGCCACGGGCGGAGACACTTTGCACTAGTCCAGGTTGCCCAAAACCCCGTCCAACCTGGCCTTGAACCCTTCCAGGGAGGGGGCAGCCACATCTTCTCTGGGCAGCCTGTGCCAGGGCCTCCCCACCCTCAGGGTACAACATTTCTTCCCTATGTCCAGCCTAACCCCACCCTCATTCAGTTTAGAACCGTTGCCCTGTGCTGGGGACCCCAAGCTGGCCGCAGTGCTCCAGGGGTCTGAGGAGAGCGGGGCAGAGGGGGAGCATCCCCTCCCTCGGCCTGCTGGCCACGCTGCTGGGGACGCAGCCCAGGAGACACTTGGCTTTCTGGGCAGCGAGTGCACGTTGCCGGCTCATGTCCCATTTGTCACCCACCAGCATCACCCAGTCCTTCTCCACTGGGCTGCCCTCAGCACCCTTTTTTCTGATCCCTTCCTGTAGCTGGCTGTCCTGTTGGGTGTGTGGCGGGGTGGCACAGGGCTGCAGGCAGGACATGTGTTCCCAGGCAGAGGTGCTGTGCAGGCAGAGCCCCGTGGGCTGTCTGCCCTCAGCCTGGGCTGCAGTGGTGGCCCTCAGCCCCGCACAGCCCCTGTGCTGTGGGGTGAACCCCCTGGCAGGATGATGTGCTGGGCTGGGGCCCTGAGGGGCAGGGATGAGCCAGGCTGTCTGTGGTGGGTGCTGGGATGGGTCAGTGGTGGGCTGCTGCTCAGGGACGGACTTCGAGGCACGGGGCTGGGAAGAGCACAGAAGAGGAGTGGTACAGCGGGTGCAGGAGGTGAATTGGAATAACAGCCTCATGCCCTCTGAGCAATCTCCCGGACGAGCAGCCCACCATGCTACAGCCGAATGGTTGTGTTGAGCTCCTGCAGAGCACATGCCAGGGCTGATATCCCACACGGCTGTGGGGGCTGGTGGGGCCGCCGATGTGGAGAGGCTGGCAGGGTGGTGGGGAGGAGGGTGCTGTGACCCGGGGGTGCCTCTGTCTGGGGCACTGTTTGCGTTGGTGGGTGCATCTTCTTCACTCACAGCGTGTGTCCCCAGGATCTGTTGGCATGATGTATCTGTGAGATCCTCGGGGGGTGGGTGTAGGTGGGAGTTTGTGACCGCTCGTGCTGTTTGGGATAATGCTGGCACAAGGCAGGCAGAAACCTGCCTGTTTGTGTTTGCTGGCAGAAGTCCCTCAGTCCATGCAGGAGTTAGAGGTGTAACTGCCCATCTGATGGACTCTGGGTACTACCCGTGTTAATCAAAGGCAGCTGATGCTTAAAATCAAGCATGGCACAAACCACGTGGGATTTCTGGTGGCGTGTAAAATGAAATGCAAACGTGGATCCCTGTAGCAAGCATCCATCCATCCCGACATCCTTCCTAGCTTTAGGAGATGACACTTTTTAACCTCCTCGATGGTGAGCCTTTCTGCTCACGTTCTGTGGGTTGCTGGGGAAGTGCCTGTGCTGCGCTGGGAGTGGTGGAGCAGGTGTCTGCATTGGTCTGGGTCTGTTTGTAGACCCCAAATGGACCTTTGCTGATGGCCAGTGGTGGCTGTGCCAGTGCAGTGGGGCTCACTCATGGGCTGAACGAACGATGCGGTTGGCAGTGTAGCTGGGACTTGATAGTTTTCTAAGATGGGTTTGAGCGAGGCTGGAGCAGTGTGGCAGGGACTGGGGAGGGGGAGGAGAGGGTGCGGGTCCCTCCAGCCTGGCTGCCTGGTGGCATTGGGGTTCAGGAGGGGTGTGACAGAGCCCATGGCCAAATCCTGCCCCTCGCCCTGGGGCTGTGTGGATGCTGTTGGATGTGGTGTTGGACGTGGCAGCACATCCAGCTCTGTGCTAAGCCTGAGTTGTGCTCTGGATCTCAGTACTGGGCTGTGATCACTGACAGGGAGCGGGAGAGGCTGGTGTGGACCTGGTGCAAGAGCAAACTGCCAAATTTTGAAAGCAGAAAGCGTCAGGGAAGAACTGGGTCCTGCCTGACGCAAAGGGCATTCATTGTCTTCTGCAGGGGATGTGCAGACCTCTCTGCAAGTCCAGACAGGTACAGGCATGCCAGTGCAGGCAGGGGCCATCGGCCCCGCTCCCCGTCTGTACTCCCAGCATGATGGTGTATTTTGAGCAACACTGGTGAGAGATTGAAGTCAAAGCAGGAGAAGGCTCTAGGTGCTCACCCTCAGGTTGATCTTGCCCAGCTCCATCAAAATCCAGATGTACTGACCAGTTTTGGGGTTGGAGGCTTCTGCCGTGTCCCAGCCTGCTCAGCCCTGGTGTTGGGGCCTGGTTGTGGCCAAGATGGACAAATTCTGAATTCCTGGCTTCAGGGCATGTTTCTTTTCTGTGCACACAGAGTGGTGGGGAAAGGGCAGCCACGCATCTTCTTTTCCTTGTCAGTGTGAGATTTTCACCTGAATCCCAGTAGCTCTCCAGTCTCGAAACGGGCGGTGGCAAGGCTGAAAGCTGAGGCCTCCTCTGGGTGACTCCACCCAAACCAGTCACCCTAGGTTGAAAAGGCAATTTTAAGGGGAAGGATAGGTATTTAATCTGATTTATTTCAAGGAAAGAGGTGTCCCTCTGAAGACCATATTGACTAGCTCTCTGCAAAGTGCGAAGAGGCCACGAGGTGACATGTAACTGACTGCAAAATGGGAGCAATCATAAGATGAGCAAAGGCAGTTGTCTCTCTTAAATCTTCTCCATTCCACTGGCTCCTCTCTAGTGAGGATGGAGTAAGAAGAAACTTTTCCACTCCATTGATTTTTAATTTCCCTCCATCATGTATCTGCTTTGGATAATAATCTTTTAAATGTCTCCTTATACAGAGGACTGTAATTTTTCTTTCCCCTGCAAGCTTGCGTCCTCTGCCTCACTGGGGCAGGAGGTGTTTTCATCTCTGGTGACAATGACACACACGCTTTTGCAGTCACAGACAGCCCCTCGTTTGCCTGCTGTGGCTTCTGTTGTATTTTCTGTTCTCTCCCACCTTTTCTGCACTCCGCAGCACCCCTCGTGCTTTCCCACCACAGTGCCGCTTGTGTTCCCCACTGCTGCTGTTTGCGGGGCCGTTGTGCTCACACGTAGCTGAGGACAGCTCATAAAGGCCCCTCTGCCCCAGCTCTTTGTAAATGCACGTGTCGTGGGTCCTGTTCTGTCTTGCCACGGGAGGCCAGGTGGTGTGGCAGCTGCCTGCAGTGGTGTTTTGCATCGTGTGGTTGTTGCTGGAGCTGGCTGTTCTCTGCTCTCTTGGTGCCTGTAGTGTGGCAGTGTCCGGGGCATCTCATGCTCTGGCTGGCATTTGCCCCAGCTCCTGGGAGCAAGTGAGCAAAAAAGAAGGGAAAGATGCCCCTGAGAAGCTCTTGAGTAGAACCACAGACTTTGCAAGAAGCACTTGTAGATGCCTTTCTCCATGTCATTGCAGGCAAAGGACAGCGATGACGATGATGAAGTCACCGTCAGTGTAGACCGGGACCGCTTCATGGACGAGTTCTTCGAGCAGGTGAGAGGTTTATTTTTCCAGTGCAGTTTTAAAGCTAGTGCAGACCTTTCTGTTAGTGCTGGGGCAGGCTGCGAGGTTGGGGTGGGGATGGGGGTCCTGCCCTGGCTGATGGTCGAGGTCCTTGGGGATTGTGCTCAGAGCACTGATCAGCAGGAACCAGGCTTCCACACAGACCTGGGGCTGTTGTCAGCTTACCTGGCCTTATGGATGCTTTGCTGTGCCACCTCCTCCAGAAACCAGTGGGGCAGCTGGGCCAGGTGAGCCTCGCAGCCTGCCTGCCTGCTGCTCAAGCGTGCCGGCTCTCAGACCTCTCCCAGAAGCACCTCTGTGGAGCAGCAGTCTCTGCATGTCTTTGATTTAATTCTGTGCCTCTCGCTACCAAACAAGAGGTTGTCTTCTGGCATGTGGGTGGCTGTAAGATCTGCACGCGGATTTTTAGCACACCCTTAGCATGGCATGTGTGTAGGGGGTGTCAAAATGTATCTGTGCAGGCAATGGAGCAGGGAATGAAAATAATCTGATGTGCAGATGGAGGGAGATGATCAAAGTGGTGGTGTGAGTCAAATGAGAAGGCAGAGCTAGAGGGTGGCAGCCCTGCAGGCAGAGGGCACAAGCAGAGGTTCCCCCTCTGGGCGATGCCGACGTGTCTCCTTGTAGTACAGAAGAGTGGGGAAGAGGCCAGCATGGATTTGCTGGCAAGTGTGGCCTCCCTGGTCTGTGGAGTGAGGGTCAAACTGGGCTTCTCAGCCCCTGGAGTGAAGAGCCGTGGGGGACTGAGCTGGGACCAAGCCTGGCTTGTGCAGCCTCAGCAATGTTCTCCCTGCTGGAGGTGCAGAGCCTGGGAATCGTAGATCTGATGCTAATTTAAATAAACCCCAAATGTTTCTCAGTGCATCATGAAGGATACAGGATGTAGAGTCTGAATTACATTGCTGTGATGGCAAAGCTGGCTGCTGTGATGTGGAAGGTCTGATTTCACAGTGGTCCTACAGTTTGAGGCTCCAGATGGAAAATCTGGTCCACTAGGAGGTTTGCTGTGGTTCAGATATGTCATGGTTGCTTTGGGATAGGGTTTAATAATCCCTCCCCTTTCCAAAAGTCCAGGTATCTCACAAGAGACCGTCTTGTTTTCCATCTTCACAGGTGGAAGAAATTCGAGGATTCATCGATAAAATTTCAGAGAATGTGGAGGAAGTGAAGAGGAAGCATAGCGCCATTCTTGCTTCACCCAACCCGGACGAGAGTGAGTGAGCCCTGATCAGTTTGCATCCCTGTGGGCGCGTGGCTGGGTTGGGCTGGGCCATTTGTGGGGTGAACGGAGTCAGGCAGAAGTCCTGTTGTCTTCAGGTAGCCATGACTGGAAAGTCACAAGCTGCTGGGGTGAGGGAGGGCAGGGACCTGTGTGGGAGGGAGGTGGAGGGATGACTGATGGTGTTCTGACCCTGAGAGGTGATGAGGGTCCAGTGAGGCTGCTGGAGGGGAATTCCTGAATGGTGGGGCAGCGTCGAGGCTGGAAAGAGAAAATGGCTGGTTTTGAGCTGCTTGGCCATTGTCTTGCCCCAGGCTGCCTGGGGAGGGTGCGTGGATGAGGCAGTGCTTACAGAACTGGCTGAGCATTGCCTGCTTGGCCCAGAAATGGTGCAGCTCTTCTTTGAACCAATGGTGTGCACTTGTGCCCCTGCCCTCTCTGTCCTGAAGGACATTTTGTTGCTGTGTGGCCAAAGTCTGTCCCTTCCAGACCTTGCTGATGCATCGCTGTTTCTTCCCTGGTCTTGTGTGCTTGAGAAGAGGTTTGTTGTCAAGAACAGAAGTTAAGGATTGCAGCACCTGCAATGTGGCAACTCTTGGGAGTCTGTGGGGCCTGTCAGAGTTGGAGCTGTGGGTGATGAGTTCCCCTGTCCTCAGGTGCGAGCAGCACATCTCCCAGGGGAGCCAGGGGAGCTGGTGCTGGCAGAGCATCTGGGACTGCTGGGGTCAGCTGGGCTCTGGTGTCTGCACACCCGTGGTTGTGGAGCAGGTGGGACCGAGGTGTGCAAGGGAGAGCAGGGGTGAGCACAGCTGAGCGGGGCTTTTTACCAGTGGGGCTGGACCCTGGACAGGCTTACCCACTGGGGGACATGGTTTGAATGTCACCGCTGCCCCAAGCCTGTCCTTCAGCCTTGCTGTGAGCCCCTCTGGCCTCTCCTTCACCCACCTCCCTCATGGTGCTAGTGGTTGCAGGGTGGATGGCTGCTGCAGGGCCAACTGTGCGGGATGGTTCTGTAGCTCTTGTTGTCAGCAAAGCTGTTGCTTTCATGGGACAGTGGGCAATAGCTGAACACAGCTCGTGCCCTCCAGGCTGCAGTGGCCTTGGTGCAGAGGTGTGATTAGGGAGCTGGAAGTCTGAGACCAGGTCTCTGTCTTGCCATCTACCCTTCTCCCGTCCATTTCTCTTCATTTGCCCAGTGCAATTCTGCGAATTGTTTCTAGAGGTCCCAGGAGATTGTACACACATCTTCTTGTGTCCAGCCTGATGTCAAATCAGTAGATGTTGCCAATTGTTTGGAAGAACCTGGCCCTTCCTAAATTGTCTCATGCTCCCCTCTTCTGGCAGCTGCTTATCAGCTAAAATTGACTTGGCCAAGCCTGGAAGCAAGGGGTTTTCTCAAGGGAATTTACGTGTCTCAGACCGTTGCTCAATCATTCTCCAGGCTCTTTTGGTCTGCACTTGCACTGTAAGATTTTGCAGTGTTTCTGTTTGGGTGTTGTCAGGGAAGAGCTGTCTTTGCTTTGCTTCTGGCTGCTGGGCTCATACAGCTCATCTGCACGGTGTCCGCTTGGGGCAGAGCCAAAGCGAGGGCTGCAAAGGGCACCTGTGCCCTAAAAGCATAATAATCTATTTAAAAATCTGAGATCTGCAGTGGAAAAGATACGGTGACATTGGTGTGACTTCCAGAAGCATCCAGGATGTTGAGAGTGCTTCTGGTTTCATTTTACAGTGTTACCTACCCTTGGTATTGTAGGAAATTCAGATTATGATGTCCAAAACTGCTTGGGCAGTGAAAGAAGAGCCCACAGCTTGTTTAGAAATTAGCGGTTTGTACTATTGAGGTGTGTCCAGGAAGTGCAGTGGGGCTGATCAGGTGCTCAGTGGTACATAGACTCACAGAGTGGTTTGGGTTGGAGGGACCTTCAAAGATCACCCGGTCCAGCCCCTCTGCCCTGGGCAGGGACACCTTCCACTAGCCCAGGTTGCCCAAAGCCCCGTCCAACCTGGCCCTGAACCCTTCCAGGGAGGGGGCAGCCACAGCTTCTCTGGGCAGCCTGTGCCAGGGCCTCCCCACCCTCAGGGTACGACATTTCTTCCCTGTGTCCAGATAGGGCTGTGGTGTCAGCTGAGCCATGTTCCTAGGGCAGCCCCTGTGTGCCAGCATCTCTTTGTGTTGCTGGGGGTGAGATGTGGGAAATGGTCCTCGGTGTCCTCAGGACAGGAGACAACCTTGGACATAGCTGCAGGGGTCTGAGTAGATGATCTAAAGAGGCATTAAACTCATGTGGCCTTGTAAGCTCAGGCCATATGCTGCCTGACAGCACTGTGGGTCAGCTGTTGGGATAACTCAGGGTTGGACTAGATGGTCTTTAAAGGTCCCTTCCACCCCAAACCATTCTGTGATAACTGCTCATAGCTTTTGCATTTCCCACAGCCTCAGCCAGACCTCAGCAGCATTGCTCCATGTCTGTTTGCTCCTTCAGCCTCAGTGAGGCTGTGAAAAGTTCAGCCAAAGACAGGGTTAACCTCCGTGTTAACCTCAGCTGGAGCTCAGTCCTGTGCCTCGGTGGGGTGGAGGCAGAGCAGGGGCAGGCAGGTGCAGGCAGTGTGGTAGGGAATGGTGGGTGCTGGCAGCGCCTTCCCACCTCCCCATGCTCCTGAGCCCGTGGAGATCCTGGTAATTAATGCAAAGGCTGCTTATAATCCAGTGAGGTGAATTTACTGAGATTAATTTGGAAGTTAAAAAGCATGGCTTCCATGAGGTACAGGAGAGGGCTGCAGCCAAAAGGCACTAAAATGTAGGTGGTGGAAGGCTGGTCTTGGTGTGTGCTTGCTGACATTTGCCTTTTAACAAAGGAACAGTAAGTGACGCCAGTTGTGACAAGCGAGGCAGGATGTTGCTCTGTGCAGGGGCCAAACTTGGGCATTTGGGTGCTGCTTGTCCTCTCTGGAACAGCACCACAGTTATTTCTTAGTTATCTCTAATCACTTCAGCACCATGGGAAACCTCCAGGGCAAGGTGATGGGAAGTCATCTGCTGGGATATCAGAAGAAAGACACAGACTCCTCATTTTGTCTGGAGGCAAACGTGCTGTGCGTGGCATGGCTCGGTTGGGAGCATGGTGCAGCTTCTCTGTCAAGAGATACAAACTCCTTAAAATACCACCTGAAGGCTGGACCTTAGAGTGGAGCTTCAGAAGATAAGGGCAGAGCTGGGCTGGTAATTTGGGAAACATAGGAATAGTGGTTGGGGCTGCCGTTGGAGCATGGGGTGGAGGGATTTACCGTGTCTGCTGGCTGAATTGCTTGCTGCTTTTTCAGGATCTCTAATAGAGGAGAGAGACCTCACGGGTGCAGCCCTGCTGGAACCTGTTTCTGCAGTGGTGATGTGCTTAGGTGAATGCGAGCCCTTCATGCTCTCCTGCGTGTGCTCCGTTGCAGAAGAGGTTGAGGTCCAGGTGTCTGCGAGACCTGGATTCACCAACCCACTTGGTGTGGGGCTGGGTCTCTGTCGTGCAGAAGGGCTCATCCCTCCCCTCCCTTCCCACTGATTCTTCTGGCTGCACAGACTGTTCTCAGATCGTGTTGCTGCTGCTGCCTGGGCTTATTTTGGTGCCCGGTGGGTGGGCAGCTGTCTGGCTTTGCCATCGTGCCAGCGAGGTGGCAGCACCTCGTCTGCCTGCCTGCCTGCACCTTGCAGCCTTGCACTTGGTCGTGGGGGGACGGGGAAGATCTCCCCACTGAGTGGCTCTGTGCTGCAGAGTGGGCAGCGTCATGTTGGGGCTCGGGTGGGCTCAGAGCAGCCAAGGGGCTGTATTTCTCCTCAGGTCAGAGCTGTTGCTGCTGCTGCTCCTGATTTCAGTCACAGCTCCTGGTAAACCTGTTTCTAAAATCCTTCCCGGTGAGCTGCTGCATCTGTTGCTCCCGGCGCTTGAAGCAGGCTGTTCGTCCTTGGGCCAGGCTGCTTCCCAGAGCAGTGGCTTTGAGTGTCAAGTTGCCAGCCTGAGAGGGATGAAATGATGGTTTGTTTTTTTTACTGGAGCGGTTGGGAAGGACTTTCTGCCATTAGTCTTCTCCATGCACTGCATCCCTCCCCACGGCCGCGCTCCGCGGCTCCTCGTCGCTGCGTTACGTAATGGATGCTGTTCACTGAATGAATTGCCTCAGGGAACGTAAATCTTCAAATATGAAATCATGTCTTTCAGCCTGTCACCTCAGTCCATCTCCACAGGCTTTGGAAGACCCAATAAATATTTCAGAGCTGGAAGCAGGACCATGACAGCTCTGCACCAGGGTGGAATGCGAGGTTCAGTTGCATGTACACTTGCCCTCCAGTTCCATAATTCAAGCTATACAGGATCAAGGTGGTGGCTTTGAACACCGGGGTGCAGGTTCTGGATGACTTTGTTCAGGCTCTCTGTCTGCTGGAGAAGATTTGAGTTATTTGGAGAGCGGCCTCTTTCCTTCCTAGCAGCCCATCTCCTGGCAGAGAGATGTGCTAGGTGGTCAAGGAGACAAATTGTAGCTGCTCACCTCTGTCTAATGCATTGAGGCAACGCTGGCTGGTGCCCAAAAGTCAGTTTGGAGTTGTCTTGGTGCCTAGGCTCTGGCCAGATGCCTATGAGCAGGCTCTGTGCTCCCCTGTAAGCATAACCTTGCTACTCAGCAGGTCCTCTTAGTAGGTGTCACAGCTGGAAGCCTGCTTTGCTGCTTGGGCACTGCTGAGAGGAAGGGAGTCTGCAGCTGGTTCTTGCTGGAGCTGCCCTCCTTGGACACTGCTTTCTGTGCCCTGTGAGCTGTTTCCCACTGTGTGGTAGTTTTTTCTAGGGTTACATGCCCCCTGGTGCCTGGTCCCAGTAGGACAGAAAGGAGGTTTCCTTGAAGACCAAGAGTTGCAGTCATGCTGTGTTGGAGGCTTCAGGCATGTGTGGTGCTTCTTGGGGAGAAGCTTTGTGAGCAGATAAATGGGGCTTTTGATGAAAAGCTTGGCTTAG